CAAAAAATCACCAAATCTGAATTTTCAACTCACGAGAACAAACCTCAATCTGATCTTGATCACTTGGGTTGGCGTGCGACAGCAGCAAATCAATTTCACCTGCACCGCCGCACGCAAGGAACAGCTGCAGCTTTTCTTCTCTGCCTCTGGACACGGCGTCAATTTTCTTGGCCAGAATACACAGCGGCGGCAGCGGACAGCAGCAGTAGCAGATCTCTACCGAAAGCAGGAACCAATAACACGCGGCGGCAGATTGATTTACCTCCTGAGAACAGCGGCAACAGCAAAAGACCAGATCGACCTCTGCACAGCGGCGGCGGCCCTGATTTTGTACTCCGTAGATCACAACAGGAACAGACAACCGCCTCCACCTCCAACTCGAACTCGGACGAATCAGACTCCGCCTTGGACTCGATGCAATAGCGTCGAATCGCCGATTGAACTCAGCACGGAAAACACTGAACCGAAGATAATCCCGGCGGCGGCGCGATGAATAGGGTGAAACCCTAACCTTATTTTTTTTCAATCTCGTGTCTGGCTCTGATACCACTTGTTAGTAAATAATGCAAATCAAGATCGAACACGAGACACAGATTTTTACGTGGAAAACCCTTGCGGGAAAAAAACCACGGGCGCCAACCGACGATCTTCACTATATGGAGAGAGTTTACAGAACACAGGGAATACAATGAGTCGTCAGCTCTTCCCGTGCGACTTACAAGATGTATTTAAATAGGACGGACTGACTGCAGTCAAATACGGAAACAAATCCGCTAATAAACATGACCAAACCGTGGGCCCTCCAGGCGTCCCCACAAGACCAACGTTATAATTCGGATCATATTCCAACACAACTCAACACAATGCAGACATGCATCAACTCACAAGTTATTTTCCTATAGAAGTCAAAACTAAGTGTGCTATTTTGGTTTCCTCCAATACTTCAGAGTTGCATGCCCCCATAATAGATACAGGATGAGTAACTCTATCTCATGTAAAATTTTGATGCCACGACATATGTTATATGATGAGTATTTATAACAGTCTTTGTATCCATTGGGTTGTAAGTTGTAAGCATGCACAAAACATTGATGCAAGTCATTCAACTAATATTCATGCACCATTCATTTGTCATGAGTTCACTCTGGAACCATCATGAATAAGTGTTCATCAATGACGCGTGGTTTGTATGCTTGCTGTGAGTGTCATGTGAGACATGAAGGAAATGAATATCTGGCTAACCTGATAGCAATACAGTGCTTTCGTGTGACAGTGTGAGTCTTCTCAGCTTTAATTTGCCTCCCTAGAATGAAAAGATATGTGAGTCTCTCACCTTAAATGGGCAAGCATTTTGCCAGGAGTCGGTGATACAAAAATGCAAAATAGTGGCATTTCCTCCTCTTATCAGTATCACCATAAAAGTTAATGACAATGAAATTTTACTGCTGTCCATGCATTGCAGGCAGGCACGGATGGAATGGACCTAGCCTACTGAATCCTGAAGATCTCTTAAGATTTGCATGATGCAGGTCTGGAATGATCAGTAGACACCATCAGCAGCAGACTGACGTCAAACACATCATGGTAGAAGAAATGCAGGCCCATGCATTACAGTGCTCTAGTGTTTGTTAGAGACTCAGCAGTTAAACTCTTCAGACTTCAGATTTGAACCTGTGAGGCACAAGCCCCTTCCTCCCTGGTATTGTAACATTCGCTAAAGCAAAGCAATCAGGTCGACATTGTTGCCAAATTGTCATCGGTCATCAGACATGGATTTGTGGCTGGTTTATTTTGCAATGCATCGAATTCAATGACAGTGGAGATGCCTGGAGGAGGACTCACGTCGATAGTGCGAACAAATCATTCCTATGAATCCTGCTGGCCCCTTGGCAAATCCTCTGTTCGGCGAGTCTCCATGGGCTGCTATCCCCAGCGGCTAGCGGCTTCCTCCATATCTCGCGAGAATGCTGTAAGGCGGCGCCTCTCGCTTGTAGGTTGCAACGTACAAGGATGCCCACGAAGTAGGACAGTGAGATGAATCCGAGATATACGGAGGTGGGGCTTGCCTATTGCAAGTTTGCAACCGGGTATGGGTAGTGGTTGACATATCACCTGCGTACGTATGTTTTTGCAAATTAATTACCCCGGTTTTGGATAATGACTATTATTAATCAAGATCCAACACTTTATTATGTAACACCCTTGGATTATAGCTGTAGAGGAGAGAGGAGAACTATGGATCAATATAACTGAAACTTACTTACATACACTGCTTCTTCATCCTAACGTACTCTTCCAAGCCCTCTCGTTTTTATATTATTATTACCACACCACGAGAAGTGAGACTTGAAACTTGGAAGTAAGCCTGCAATACCCCACGTCCAAACTCAGGTGCTTCCACAGACAGGATGCCTCTTACGATGATCATCCACCTCTCATCGCCATCCTCTGGTTTAGCAGTGAAGAGCAACTCCAATAGAGCTGTTTATATCCTTCCTTATTGATACCAATAAAGATTTTTTTCTTGCTTCTTTAATTAGATCTCCAAATATTGGCATCCTTTATTCCAGTTTTCTCTCTATGCAAATATGTATAGCGGGATTGGCTCTCTAGAGTGCATAGAAAATGCATGTAGAAGAGCTATTGGAGAGTGCAAAAATTTAGAAAGCGATTTTTATTCAAATGGTTCTCTAAATGATGATTCAGTTTAAGAAAGCCTCTTAGAGATGCTTTAAGAAGCACCGGTTCAAGGAGTTTTCTAAGGCATGGAGAAGGCTGTGTAAGAAGCACCGTTCTGTCGGTGCAAAAGAAAAACATGGTGGCAGGAGCGGCTGGTTTATTTGTTTAAGAAAGACATAGTGAAAAAACAAATGAAAAATGGTGTCATATAATTATAAATGGAGAAAGCAGTTGAAACAAATATAATGTATTGAAATCGAATGTCCCATGTGATACAAAATATAAATTAGATGCTTAACTACCATCACAATATGACAGTTGCTTTCTTTACATTTATCTCATGACTAGCAATAATTGAGTTTGTTGAACTTGAACCCATCAATTTTATTTTTTTCTTTTTTGTTTTTGAAACAAACCAGCTAGAGATCTAAGTGAGGCCTAACCACCAAATGTATAGAGAAAACAACACGCCAAACAAAAAAAAAAAAATCTTCACAGCAATAAAATTGTACGTGTGTAAAAACTAAAAAATGCTGGAGAAGACGTGTAAGGTGCTTTTCACCCGCTGTGATCATATACATGCCTCATCGTGGTTTTTTCTGGACCTGGTTTAATTGTCATGGTGTTTCCCTGTCTCTTCTAAATCTTCAAAGAAATAAAATTGTACGTGTGTAAAAACTAAAAAATGCTGGAGAAGACGTGTAAGGTGCTTTCTCCCGCTGTGATCATATACATGCCTCATAGTGGTTTTTTCTGGACCTGGTTTAATTGTCATGGTGTTTCCCTGTCTCTTCTAGTTGAGTCTTAGTTTCCCTGTCTCTAGGTTGTGTCTTCTGTAGTCTTATCCAGAGTTAGTTTCTCCTGTGAGAGATCTCTTAGATGAGAGATTGAGTACCTCTGTCTATGGGAAAAGAACTAGACCTTGTTGGATCTGATCTTGTGGCAATGAAACAAGTGGTTCCCTGATCTCTTGTGTCCCGATTCGATTTGTTTTTTCTCCTTCTGGTCTCCCTCTTCTTGAGCTTCTGTTGGATTTCTTGAATCCGAGTTTTTGAGGGTGATTCGGCTGGATGGATACATGCTAGTACCTTTGAGAAACATCTCTATCAAATAGTTTTGGCAGATTCCTCACGAGCACAAAGATCCACCTGTTGGAGAGGAAAAGTTGAGAAAAACCTCTTTTCTTGATAGTTTTTGAGATCTGCGTTGATTCTGAGGTTTTTGGGTCTTAATCTTTTGGGGATAGATTCAAAAAGATTTAGTCAAGGTGTGTGTGTGCAAAATTTCAGTTTTTTCGGAGCTCGTTTGAATTTATTATGAAATTTTCTTGGACAGAGTTCTGCTGAAATCTAAGTAAACCAGCTCATGCCGGTTTGGAAAATTGGCTCAGGCCGGTTTTAAAGTTACTCTGATTGAGCTTTTCAGTGGAGATCCTCTCCTTGGTGTTATAAGCTCCCCCACCATGTTTCAAGTCGTTTTGAAATCGTTTGATTGGCTTTTGACCTTTTCTCCTCCGTGGGCATGTTTCAAGTCCTTTTGAAATCGTTTGATTGGCTTTTGACCTTTTCTCCTCCGTGGGCTGAAAAAACTGGCTCAAGCTGGTTTTTGCTGTTGATTTCCAAGGTCGTGGGCCGAAAAAACTGGCTCAAGCTGGTTTTTGCTGTTGATTTCCAAGGTTGCTTGTTTTGATCTTCGTTTGCGTCCATGGTTGTTCCATTGTGTCCTTGGGTCTCTCTTGAGTACATCTAGCCACCAGTTGGCATGTGTACTCTTCTCGGAGTTTTTTGTGTTTTGAGCGCTCGGTTGGGTGGTGTTGGGACAACGGCCGAAATCAAAAGAAAATTGGATTAGGCTCCCGTTCACCCCTCATCTAGCCGCCTTGCTCGGTCCTTCAATTTTATGGATTGGAAGGTTAATCTCTCATTGAATTTGTTGACAATGATAATAAATCCATCAAGGCCTCTGATCCGTGAGAAGAATGATTCAAAAGACAGCAAAAGAGGTCAACAAGAATTTAGACATCATAGTTTAGAATGAAATAAGACCAAATTCTTGTTGTTTCATCAAACACACTGAGAGGCCCATTATTTTAGGATACAACATTTGATTGTAGCCTTGCCACAGATCAAAGTTCTTACAGGAAACAGTAGGTGGTTGAACAACATATGCAATGGGGGTTTCCCCTTATTATGAGGCTAAGTTTCACACTTCATGCACACTGGAATTACATGTAGACCTCATACTGCTTCATACACACAACAGTAGGTCAGTAGATGATTTATCCCCTTGACTAGGCAAGTCCATCATCTGGTTTGTTTTTTTTAGACAATGGAAACGAGGCTCCAGCCGTCACCTGTTTTCTTGTGCTTTGGCAATAGTTCCTGAGCTTGCTTCACAAGTGAAACTAGTGGCTTATCAGTCTTTGTCACCTGAAGATAATTGGCATCAAAGAGCACGAGGCAGTTATCAAGATCTGACAATATCTTGTAAGATTCAGATAGCGCGTCCATGAAATTGTCTTCTATGAAGTCTTTGATGCATATGGGTTTGAGCCGCACCATTGAAACAACCAGTTGGCAGGAAAGCTTCACTGTTTGCAGGCACTCAACTGTGGTTGTATTGTTCGTCTTTATTATGTCCTTGAGCTTTTTCACCAGCGACGCCATGTCTTCTGGGGCGGCACAGGCGAAATCATGCGCATCGACCATCCTTCTGCATATCACCACAGCAAGTGATAACAGGGCCACCAAAAATCCCTTTTCTGCTTGCTGCTCCTCGCCTTTTTTAGATAAGGGAACCAAGTTCCAACCTCTACCATCTTTTCTACTAGATGATTTGTTCCCTTTATTGGTTGGTCCTGACCCAGTGCCAATGCTTGTTTCTCCTGGGGAAGATATCATCGCTTGCAAATCCTGCAAAATTACCATTATAGAAGATGGGTAACCATCCATACATTTTTGAATGGAATATGATGAAATGTGGATGAAGAGATGGGGTTACCATTTCCAATTTGTTTGTTGTTTCGCTTTCACTTGGGATTATTAGTATCAGTTGAAAAACCTGCAACGGTAGAGAAACATAATATATTAATAGAAGAGGATAAGCTTGCGTACTTTTGAAGAACGGCTAGATATGGTTACCTTTTTCAACATCTTGATCACATACTGGCTGGCAAGTTCTCTGTTCACTGTAAGGTGTGAACATAAGCACGCCAGGATTTCTGCCGCCCTTGTTCGAGAGCACTCATGCTTACTATTTACCATGTCAATAAGTTTGCCAACAACATGGTCCACTTCTTCAGCCGGCACTTGCTCGGAACCAGTAGTAGTTTGTATAAACTTCTCCAGAGGAGCTGCATCTGCATCCCACACAGAGAGCATCAGTACCAGTGCTTCCCCTGCTGTCTGCCTCAATCTGCTAGCCTTCTCCCGCTGTTCCTCTTCTTCAATGGTGTTTCTGTCATCCACTTGAGCAAAGAAGATGCCCAATAGTTGGCTGATGAACTTCTTTATGTCATCTTCGCCCAGGCTTGTCACAGACTTGTCTTTGTGTTGAGCCAATTCTGCGAGGATCTCAATGGCAGCTGTCTTGAGTAGTGTGCAAAACTTGTTGTCCTCCAGAATTCCTGTCAGGTTAAGGACAGCCTGTTTGGTGCTTGCGATCTCGTTGCGCAGTCCTCTGCTGGCTTCTCCGGGAGTCTTGATCAGCCTGGCTACGATCCTTAGTGATCTGCCTAGCATGTCAACCCATTCACTGTCGTACTCCTCATCAAGGAGAGCGTGGGAGTATAGTGGCACTGTGAGCCTTGAGAGCAGGACATGGTTGTTGCATATGTGGACACGGTTGCCTTGGTGCAGGGCGAGCCTCTCAATGATAAGTAGGCCTTGAGTGATGAGCGGTTTTCGTTGAGCAGAGGCAGAGATGTCATCGTCTTCTTGTTTGTCTTCTTCTTCTTCTTCTTCTTCTTCCTCCTCCTCCTCCTCCGCGTCCTCCTCCTTCTTCTTGATCTTCTCACGTAAACTACGTATGCGCTCCTTCTTCTTGATCTTCTCACTTAAACTACTTATGTGGTTGCGGTTGATGGCGAGATAATGTAGGATGCTCCAGTATATGGGCCCTTCACTCAACGGTTTCATCATACTTTCGTCCCTGATCGTACGCTTTTTTATACTCTTGTCCTGCTTGTCCTCCGCAGCCGCCGTCGTCGTTCTTGCTGTAGTAGTTGTGTGCTGCAGCTGATGATGACCATAGTCATTGTAGGCTTGGTCATGATGTCTCCTCTTGTGTTGAGAGGAGACTTCAAGCAGTGAGGCTATGTGATGCAGCGCTGCGGGGGAGCACCAATCGTTGTGGCGGAGGTCGCTGGCGACAGCCACAACCACCCTCGCCGCACGCTCCCTGGACTGGACATCGCCCACCTCGAGCGCTTCCAGAAGGTTCTCAAGGGGGACCTTGCCAGGTACCAGCTTGGGTCCTAGTCCTAGTCCTAGTTCTTGTGCCTCCTGCTGTGTCTTGCCGCTCCCCTTCTTGACCACCAACTTGTCCAGCAGCCGGACTGCATCACGGCGTTCATCGAGAGATTCAGAGCCGAGCAGGCCGACGGCGAAGGTGACCAAGTTTCTGCCCTGGGGCACTTGTCCTTTCTTGGCGCATATCTCTCTGGTTTCTCTAGCGTACCTCAGAACCAAACTGGTAGCCCACCTCCCGAATCTGCCGCGCCTTCTCACAATCCCAGCTCTAAATGCCTCACTGAGTTTAAACACGCTCCAGAGGCCGAAGAGGGTGTTCTGCGCCAGAGCAAGAGAGTAGAAGATCTGCAGGGATGCCCTGAGCTTGGCTGCATTGGCGGCATCCCCGCCGGCATTGCCATAGCTGTGTACCACTAGCCTGACCAACGACAGAACTAGGGCAAGCAGCGGCGAAACCGCAAGGATTTGCATCACGACAGAAGCTGCAACTATTAGTACCCCGAGGCAAGCTTCACCAAGGAACCAAGCAACAGCTCGAGCACATCCACCACGGCTCAAAGACGGAAATCGTTTCTCCTGAGCATAGCGTACTCCAATGTAGACATTGAGAGCCGCGTACGGGAAAGCATAGTTGCACTCGTACAAATCTGCTAGACTGTTCGAGTGAAATTAAGTTAGGTAGTATAACTAGAAATGACTCATATATTCTCTACGTACCAAGCAACCTCCCTAAACACACACAGCTAACATATATAGTCTAACAAAAAGATCTATGGAGTCCAGGGGCGGAGCTAAGATCTAGATACAGGAGGACCAGTCCGAAAGTGTTGACAAAATATTTTTAGGATACCAATGTCAAACATCAATATCGGCTTCAAAAATTATTTACTTTAACGTTGGCTTAAAAAACAATAAATCATCTTTAATCTCTTTATTTTTCTTCATCTCGGATGAGTGCTAATTCTGTCGGATTGAAGATAGAAAAGAACATTGCTCATAAAACCAATGGTTCACATCATATTTAATTGGACCTTTCGTTACTTTAGTTGAGGAGTTTTTTACCCATAATCTGTAGGATTAGTACAACTATTAAAGAGTACTAGTATATACTAATCGACCTTAGGGGTGGCCAGGCCCTGCCCCCGCCCCCTTGTCTCCGCACCTGATGGAGTCTTACTTACATACTGGAGGCTGTAATAGAGCCTCTACCTTAATTGGCACTAGACGTGTTAGGAAAAAAAGATAAATCAGAAAAAGATAAATCTTAGAAATTTTATAGTAATTAGAAACATATCCTTTAATTTGGTAGACTATAGCCATTGGATCTATTCTAGTTTATAAAAAAAAATTATCCACCTATACCATTATGTAAAATACATAAAAGAAACACCTATTTTGCATCTAAATTACCCATCTCTGTCGTTACGAATGATAACTCAAAATAACCCCCTAAATTTATATTTAAATTATTCATCTATGCCATTATGAAAGATAATTCACAATAACCCTCTAAATTTGCATGTACCTCTATCATAATGAAAGATAATTCAAAATGACCCCCTAAACTTGTATCTAAAGTACCCACCTTTACCATTAACGAAAGATAGTCTAAAATAACCCTCTAATTTGCATCTAAATTACCAAACTTCGCTAATTATAAAAGATAATTTAAAATGTTGATCATGCTGGCTCCGTCAGCACGAGTCTGACTAACCGGTCTCCCAGAGAACCGCATTTAGACCTTGAGAAGTGCTTCCTTGTCGATTTTCAGGGCACTTACCAGAGGCTTGTGAATGCATAGCTAATAAGATGACATGGTATGAATCTTGTCCACGTTACTCCTCACCACACATGCTAAAAAAAGAAATCCTAAAAACTCTCACAATAATCACAAACATCTACTCTTTAATTTAGTAAACTCTAATCATCATCAATAATGGCCATTGGATCTATGATATTTCATAAAATAACCCACATCTGCCATTAACAAAAATACATAAAGTAACCTATAATTTTATATCTAAATATCTAAATTAGTCATGTTTGCCATTGCGAAAGATAATTCAAAACAATGCTCTAAATTTACATCTAAATTACCCAGGTCTGCATATGAAAGAAAACTTGAAATAACCCCCTAACTTTGTAACTAAATTACCCACCTATATCATTATAAAAGATAGTGAAAAGTAACTTCTAAGTCCGCATTCAAATCACTCATATATGACATTATGTACTAACATATTTTAATTTGTATCTAAATTATGCATCAAAGCCGTTATAAAAATAAACAAAAGTATCTCTCAAATTTATATATAAATACTAATATTAAGCTATTATGAGAAATAATTTATTATATATAAAGTATGTTGTATATTTCTAAATTACAGAATTCTTCCAGCAAATTAAAAGTGATTACAATGCTATGTTTTACCATGAAAACAAGTAAACACATATACATTAGGATAATTATATATTTTTGTACTCCCTCTGTCCCTGAATAAATAGATTCCTAGAATTGCCTTAAGTCAAACTTTTTAAACTTTGACTGAAATTCTAGAAAAAACGTTACGATTTATGGTAGCAAATTAGTATCATTAGATTTACCATAAAATATATTTTCATAATATGTTCATTTTATATCATAGATGTTGTTATTTTTTTATAAAGTTAGTCAAACTTTAGCACGAATTCTAGGAATTTATTTATTTAGGGACAGAGGAAGTATTTTATTCCCTTAGCAAACAACATAGCAATGACACTGTTAATCCACTTCAAGTTATATTAGTACTTCATTATAATAAAATGTTATAAGTTACTATTTCAAATAAGTTCATATATTTTGACTGAAACATTATATCATATCAATATATATAATTTAATTTTCACCACTCTATGTTTTATAACAAAACAATAGTAATACATATACAGTTATGTTATATAATAAGTTCAATATATTAAGTGCCACAATGAAAGCTGGAGTGATCATTTATTCTATTGTAAGAACTAAGAGGGTAACCTAGAATCATCTTTTTAATAAAAAGAATAGAATGAACAAAAGATATAATAAGCACTAGATCTTCAATTAAACATTTGGATAAAAAATAATAAAAACTAGAATAAAAGTTGAAAGCTGAACTATAGACTCATGATGTCATAGAAAAAGGATGCAACAAGAGATCATATAATTAAGGTTAGGTTTTAACTAAATATATATCACGCTAAAAATATATATATTCTTAGAAATTTTTACTAAAGAATCACCAATGGGCTAGATAGAAAATAAAATTCCTAGAAATGCTTTATAAAAAGATAAATTTTTAAAAATTCTCACAAAAATAAAAAACATCCTACCATCAATTCAATTGACTCTAATCACCATCGATGATAGGGGGAATATTAAGTGCAAACCAGCTCTTCGGTGCAATCGTGAAATCCCCCTAAAGCACATATCTAAAATTTCTCAAATAAATTTGAAACTATACATATCCATAATGCATCTGTAGATTCATATTGTTGCAAAATATGATATTCCAACTCAACCTAGAAAAATCCATATGAAAATTTTTCCAGGCTACACACCCGACGGTACTAGTTCGGACTGGTTTCTACTAGTTTTAACCGTGCTATCAGGTGGAATTAATTGGCTGGGTGGGCGTAACCACAGTACAAAATGCGCCTGGGTGAATTTTAGGTTCACTCTATATATATCAGTAATTGATAAGTTTATCATAACTAGAAATAGACTATAATTATGCCTATTGGGTTATAAAATGAACAAATGGAAAAAAATTGCATAATGCAATATAAGTAATTTTATTAGTTGGCGAAATAATGCCTTTGTCGGTTAAGGAACTAGCCAGTGCGAGAGCACGGGGTTGACGAGGGACTATTGACACTAATATAAGATGATAGGTAATTTAAAGCATGGAAATAAACAAAATGGAAATATATACCCCCCCCCTCCCCCCACCACCACACACACACACACACACACACACAGAGAGAGAGAGAGAGAGAGAGTATGAGTCGGCAGTGACTTACTTGAGTGCAAATGAGGTACTAATGGCGGTGAGAAACCAAAAGTCGATGAGCTTGAGCACGGAGACGAAGCCACCTAAGAGGACAACGGTGGACCATGTCAGCGACAGGTAGGCGAGGCTGTTGACAACCTTCCTCAGGGTGGCCTGAAGTTCGGCGTAATCGTTGATCAGCCTCTCTTCCAGCCTCCTTGCGATGATACGCTTAGCAAGGGCCTTGTACTCCTCTCTTACAGATCTCCTCTGGAACCGGAATTCTATGCTTTCCGCCGGCCTTTCCTTCGGAGGCTGCTGCCCGGACTCCATCCTGCCACCGCGCCACTACTACGAGCAATCGGCTGAGAGCTTTGCTCCTTCCATCCTTCTTTCCTTTCCTATATAGGCGCCGGCCTGGCTGCATTAGCCTGGCAGCCTCGATGGCAAAGCATTGTGCCCAAGGAAGCATAAGTTCTTTATATTACTTTGCTGCCAGTTCAAGCAAAGAACTTGACTGCAGATCTACAAGCTTGAGTATATAGATGCTTTATTAAGGAACTGCCCTTGTAAATTGTAATGCAGTCAGCACACCGCTCTGCCCTGCCGGCGCGCTCCAACGTCAGTTTGCAAGAGAGTCTAGGTCAAGATGAAGACATGGACAAGTAATGTCGTGAACTTCCTCATTGCGTCATGTTATATATGTAGCAGCAATCAAAGTCGCACAAGAGCAGCACGTACTGCAAACACGCGTGGCGTGTAACGTTATTACAGGAAGAAGTAGCGTAACAGATGAGTCCTTGGTTGAAAAAGTGCCAGCAATTAACCGATTTGCATGTTTTCCAGCTGATAAAAGTAGAAGGTGGCGTTGATGAGGAGAGAAGTGCGTGGGGCGCCCTAAACTTCTTTGTGGCTTTAGTGCTGTCAGTAAATGGGCTACTGCTCGATCTAAAGTTTATTAGTGACTTTATCTGCATATGCAATGCGACTATTGTAAACCCTGCTTTCTTTCCTAACTCTACTTCGATAATTTTGGAGCCACAAAGCTTTATCTGCTAAATTTGTTCGAAATATGACATTAGCTGTTGTAGACCATTTTTTTTTGAAACAAATCAGGCAGGAGAGTTGCCGATTACATTAAAAAGAAGATAAGCCCAGACTGGACACAACGATACAACAACTAGACGACCGCAACAAAGCAACAAAGAGACCTCTAACAATAGCGACCGGTTGGATTGGGACCTCAACACGCGTCACACAACACTACAATTCTCGCCAACTATATACACCACTAATCTGGCACTCCACAAGCACAACATCACTGACAGCTAGACACCACGCAACACCAAAAAAGACGGGATGACAGCCATCAAGACAAAAAGCCGTCGTCACCACTTGCGCCGTCATCGCCGACGATGTCCAGCGCCAAGCTAGCCTTGCTAAGCAAAACTAGTCGCCGCAGTCCACTGCGAGCCATGTAACCGCCATGCCTTCATATCCGCTTGCGCCACCTCACGGCATTGTCCCACACCAGACTAGCCTCTGCCATGCAGGACTAGTTGCCACAGTCCGCTGCAAGCCGCCAAGCCAAAAACATAAGCAAATGCCTCAAGCCTTCGCCACACTTTCCATGTCTACCGAGATCCAGCTGCAGACATAGTAGCACTTGGCAACCAAGCCACCTTGTTGAAGATAGAAGAAGTATTAGTCGGGTCCTCCAACACAAGTCACTTTGGCAACATGCTTCTGCTGGCCACCTCGTTCCGCGCTGGCCTTCTCGCCAACTCTGCGGTCACTACTAGCGCATGGCTGCTATACCGTCTCCCTTCAAATACCAACCGGAAGGCATGCCCTCCAAACACTGCACCAACATCTCTGTCTGACCATCTTCGTCCGCCGAGAACACTTGCCTCTTGATTAGTCGACTTGGTCTCCACCACCACGACACCAACTGCGGCAGCTGTCACGCCACCGGCCGGAGCGCCGCCGCTAGAAATCCTCTACATGAGTTGGACGAGGAGGAATAGAAGGAGACCTTTGTCTTCTCGGGGGTGATGGCAAGGGATGAGGAGGGGAGTGATCTCTATTAGGAGATGGTGAGTGATCATCGTGGGTGGGCGAAGACTCGCAATCGTCCTCATCATCAGAGGACAATTGGTGGTCAAGCTTAATGAAGCGCTTGCGCCAGGCCACTTGAGAGCCCTTGTTATGACCAAGTTTCGGCCTGTCTTCCGCTACGGGGTACTCAATATGTATCTTATTATACTTCTTATCAAGTATTCTGTCAATGGTGACACAAGCGTACCCCTGTGGAATTGGGCGGCCATTAATGGTCCCTCTCCCGTAGGCCAGGCCTGGCTGAGCGCCACCTTGTCCTTTTTTCATTCCTAACGGATGTACAACTTGACATTGACGGATTCAGTGATGCCATCCACCGGATGAGGCATATTCACATCTTCTTCATCGAGCGGGGTCGATCCACAGCTGCTGCGACCCCTAAACTATGGGCTAAAGGCAGTAGGAGTAGGGTTTTGTGGTACTCCTAACCCCTTGGATAGCAAAATTTGCTGGACTTGTGCTTCAACAGTCACCTCAATATGTGCATCCATTCTTTCTTCCATCTCTTTTAGTCACGTTAAATACTCTGCCTCCTGATCCGCTCTACCCCTCGAGCGGCTCCGGTAAGTATTAGATTCTTAGATTAATGCTAGTTTCCAAGGAACAACACCGGTTCCTCTAGTGCGACCAGGGTGCTCCTTGGTTCCGAGTGCTTGGGTGAGCACGTCTTTCTCCCTATTAGAAGTGCAAGTCCCTTGCCTCACCTCCTCAGTTACCTGGGAGATCCTCTGGATGAGTTCGCTCATGGGTTGATTTGTGGAGCTAAAGCTCCCGTCCTCTGCGTGGCGTACATTCCTCCCCATACAGTATATTACCGATCTTGGCTCTCAATCGGCGGTCTCAACCTGAAAGCCTTCCTTAGCAAGGCGATCCATCTTTTAAAGTTCTACTTCAAATTCTGGCATCTTTTTAGCATAGTCACGAGAGCCGAGATGATGAGGATTCATCGCTTTCTGCGAGTTCTCCTTATTCTTCCTGCTCAGTTCTAAGTACTCCTCGGATAACCTGTATTCCTTGAAATCCTACCAGAAGTCCTTCTGCTTGCTAAACTGTCCACCATCGAAATCTGGCTCTTTATTTTGGAGGACAAAATTCTTGTACAATGTCCCCTTGAAATTTTTGAAGCATGTCCCCATGATTTCTTTTGCTTTTTTCTTGACTAACTCCTTGTCATACTCTGTTGGGAAAGTGAAATACTTTGGGATCTTGATATCCCATATGTAATCCTTCTCCCTTTTGGGAACCCTCCATGGGTCATCATCTTTCCCAATCCACTTCCTGTACCTAATTGGGATGAAGTCCCTAACAAGTAACCCGAGGATAGTCTTGTATTTGGTCAAAGCTATAGGCGGTGAGAGTGGATCCCCGAATTCATCAAACTCAGTAATGTGCCAGTGTGCATTCCTACCAACATGAATCTTTGACACGCCTTGTTTGGATCTGGCCTTCCTGCTACCCAAACCCTCTGGCTCCTCGGCCGGCAGAGGCTCCTACTAGAGACACCAAGTAAGCTATGACCCTCTCAATTGATTAGTGTGTGTGGCTACATAGTCACATGATACCAAAGTTACCTGGCCATCTTGGTCATTTTGACCCAGATCGAGCAGGCCGAACGTGGTCCATGGCTGCTCATTCTCACCGTCCTGATTGACACCATCACTGTTTGTCGGATCATGCGGCTCTCCCATCCTAGCGATATCAGCCACTTTCTTGTTGCCGATCTGTTCTTTGACGATGGGGTAACAGGCGACGATGAGTCATGGCTGTGACACGATCGTGGTTAGTTTTTGTCGTGAGCATCAAAACGAACACCACAATTTTGGTATGTGCTCTTTCCATCTTGCTTTTTTGTGTAAAATGTGAATCCATTGATCTCATACCCTTGGTACTTAAGATATGTACTCGAAGGTCCCTTGGCTAAGGTATCCAGTTGATTACCCAACTTTATTCTAAGCAAGAGATGTCGCAACCAGTTGACAAATTCCTCCTTATATTTTTATCCAGCCAAGCCTGTGACCTTCTCGGATACAGAGTTTGCAGTGATTGCCTATGCTCGTCAATGTATGGCATCACACCCTCGGCTTGCTGGAGAACAGCGAACTATGCCTATCTAAAAGAAACATGGTCGTCTACTGTAACATATTTCTCCCCAATCGTTCCTTTGCCACGTAGTCTTCCCTCGTGACGAGATTCTAGAACTCTGACCCTTTTGATGTCTAGATAATATATGCAGAACTCAATGGCCTCCTCCGTTGACCATCCTTCAACCATGCCTCCTTTTGGCCTGAATCTGTTCCTAACATACCTCCTGAAAACTTTCATCAATCTTTCGAAGGGGAACATCTGATGCAGGTACATTGGGCCAAGAGATCTAATTTGGTCAACAAGATGAATGAGCAGATGCAATGAGATATCAATGTAAGTCGGTGGAAAATGCATCTCAAGCCTAACGAGAGTTTCGGCTATGTCCCGCTGCAGCTGCTCTAGCGTGGATACATCAATGACCATTTTTGAGATCGCGTTGAAGAATGAGCAAAGCTTTATGATTGGGGTGCGGACCTTTGGGGGGAGGATACCACGTAGGGCAACAGGGAGCAGCTGAGTCATAATGACATGACAGTCATGGGCCTTCATAGGGCCATAGTTGAACTTGAGTTCTCTCATGTTCACTAGCCTCTTTGGGTTCACACAGTAGCCCATCGGGACTTTGAGTTCATTGAAGAAAGAAATAAGCGCACACTTATCTTCCTTCTTCAATGTCCATGATGCAACCGGAAGTTTGAACTAGCCATTCTCTAGCTTCACGGGATGCAGCTGCTTTCTGATTCTCAAGTGTTGCATGTCCTCTAGCTCCACGGGATGCAGCGGCTTTCTGATTTTCAAGTGTTGCATGTCCAGGCGTGTGGCTAGTGAATCCTTCGATGTCCCCCTGGTGTCCATCAAGGTGTTAAGAGTGTTAGCGCACACGTTTTTAGAGATGTGCATGGGATCAAGACAGTGGCGTACACTCAAAAATAGCCAGTAAGGTAGTTTCTAGAAAACCAATTTTTTCTTCCAAACGCTCCCATCAGGCGTTGCTACTGCATTGTCCCCCTTCCCAAGGACAACCTCTAGTTTGTTGAGTTCTCGAAGTATCGCAGGCCCATCTCGATATTTTGGAGCTAAGCGTTTGTCAATAGTACCGTTGAAATCTTTTGTTCCTATGGTAAGGGTGA